CCGCCTTTCCCGCCCGGCTTCCAGATCAAATCCCAACAGAGCGAAGTAACCCGAATCCTGGATGGGAAAAACATCAAGTACGAGCTGGTGGATATCTCCCAGGACAACGCTCTGCGGGAGGAGATGAGGGCAAAGGCCGGTAACCCCAAAGCCATCCCGCCCCAGATCGTCAACGGAGACCACTACTGTGGGGTGAGGCTTGTGCTCAGCAACGTGGAGGTTGGGGGGTGGGCACAGTCCCGTCCCCTTCTTTTTGCTACAAACTGTGTCAAGATGCCTTTTAAAGAGCATTTCTGGTGAGGCACACGGACAAGGTGCTGCCAGGGTGGATGGAGCACAGTGGCTTGTGAAAAAGGGGACCCAGGCAGGGGATTTGGGGTTCGGGTGGGCAGCGGGGCTGTGCTGTGTGGGGCTGTCCTCATGTCACCCTGTTGTTCTCCACTGGCACCCGTGCAATGAGCTAGTTTGTGCTGTGTGCTCAGGGGACTGGTGCAAGCAGCCTGCTTGCTCTTGCCTTGTGAGTGACTTGTGGCTTTTCCCTGCAGGATTATGAGCTCTTTGTGGAAGCAGTGGAGCAAAACACCCTGCAGGAGTTCCTGAAGTTGGCCTGAGCCCCAGGCTCCCCTTTCGTCCTGGACTCTACCTGCATTCCTGAGCACCCTCATCTCCGACCACCTTCACTTCCAGGTTGTCAGCGCTGTCCTGGCACCACGACCTATATCCCAGCACAGGGAAATCCATGACCAAAACTACTCTTTGCAGCTGCCTGCGATTCCCTCCTGCCTAACCCTGATATCATCTCAAAGGGATCCAAAGAAAGTCTGATGCTCGCTGCGCATGGCCTTTGAGCAAAGCTGGGCCTGGCTCACAGCAGCTTCCAGTGCCTCTGTACACAGCAAAGCCTCTGGGGCTGTGTGAAGTGCAGCCGTCTGTCAGCCCTCGCCTCTGCAGGGAGAGCTTCTGCTTCAGGAGGGAAAGGCTTAGGGTTGATGTTACTTCCCACTTCTCCCAGTTGCTGTTAAAATTGTAAACCCTGCTGCCTCACTTCCCTTTTTTATTTTACTTTTAATTCATCTCAACTGCACAGATTATGGCAACTAAGTCCTTTTTTTTTCCTGGTTTGTCTTAATTTAATGCAAAAATACTGCACAGAGCTGGGGTCTGACCACCCACCAGAGAAGCCCAGGGCTGGGGGTGAAGGCTGGTGCTGCTCAGCAGGCTGCCTGAGGGGATGGATGGGCCTAGAGGTGGGACCTGTGCTGCTCTCGTGCCAGGGCTCCCTGGTGAGCATTAATGGCTCAGGGCTGCTCCAGCACAGCTGATGCTCTGCCTCTCTTATCTTTCCTCTTTTGAGTTGGCTTTTACTGCAACCCGGACCAAGTGCATTTTGTTTTCCTGCCAAAAAGGAAGTTTATAACCAGTGTTGTCTTCCGAGATGCTATTAAATGTTACTGTACCTTTCATGTCGGTACCGGTGGGTTTCTTTTAAATCTGGTTTTATTTTGACTACAGGTTAAACATCGCCCTACGTAATGATTCTGAGTCATTTCCAGCTCAGAGAAGCCGAGTTGGTTGTACTCACTGATGCAGCCTGACACAAACATCTTAACACCTTAGATGTCTGCTGCTAATCAAAGGCTCACAGGACTTGTCTGAATATCCTACAGCGCAGTAGTGACAGGTACCTCTCTCAAGTGTTCTTTTCTACTTGGTAAGAGCAGCAGCCCAGGGGAGAACAGCTGCAGCCAGGCACAAAGATGACCTGGTTGGTTACAGACCAAGGGCATAGAGTGGCAGTGGAAAAGGCTGCCCGATGGGAGAGTCCCTGTATGCTTCCATGACTGCTATAGATGGAAAAGGAAAGAAACTAACTTGGAACTCTGGGGTTTGAGTCATGGGGAACCTGTGGAAGTGGCTGGTTTGCAGGAGTGGAGCTTCCTGTGCTTGACTTGTCCAGGGTCTGGCTCTGGTTGGAGTGGTCTGGGAAGAGCTCTGGGTATCCTGCCCCCTCCTGCAGCAACTGCGCCTTTGAAATCTAATGGAACTGGAAACTGCAACTTAAATCAGTGGGTTTATGGGAGCTTTGGATGAGGGCTGGCTCTCTGCTGAAAGGGAACCAGCCAGGAGGTGCTGCCTCACACAAGTGGGAGTGTTGTCAGCTGGGAGTCAAGTGGGAGCTTGTCACAGCTGAAAAGGGAAGAATGTGCCTGGAGAGGGGCCTGCAGAGCACAGCCCCAGCCCACGGGAGAGGGAGGAAGATGCTTTAATCAGGCTTCAGCAGAGAAGCAGCAGAGGGATTATGCTCTTCTCCAATGACACAGGAGTGTCCTGTTGCAGCATCCAGCCCCTGGCTGCAGCAGGGAGGGAGGGAGGGAGCCAGGCTGGGAGCTCCGTGTGGCTGGTGGGCCCTGCCGGAGCTGGGGGCTGTCCAAGGGAAGGAGTTGTTCACGCACAGGAAACCCAGCAGCAGGGTCTCCTGGCTGAGCTGAGCCTGGCTCAGTCCCAACCTTGCAATGGCTCAAGGCCTCTTGGTTTAACTTCACCAGGGACCGTATAACTGAGCCTGTTTATCTTGTGGTGTAAGTGCAGGTGAAACCTCTGGGGAGCAGCTGTGTGTGGAAAGCAAACTGACCCTGGCTGTTTGTCCTGCTGCTGTAGAGAATCCCCGAGCTAAGCCACTATCCAGGACCCCAGTGTAAAGCTGGTGGCCTTCCCTGGGCTGGCGTCAACCTGTGTAACCTTCAGCAGAGATGAGAAAATGGGGCTTGGGTCTGAGCTGACAGAAATGCCCCTGCATTCAGAGCCTGGTGCCTCTGAGCACTTCTCTCTGCCCCAGGTAACGGCGCAATGAAACCAAGTCTGGAAAGTCACCCCTCTCTTTTCCCAGCCAGGGGAGGTTATAACAGAGCAAGGCAGCTCCTTCCTCTAGCAGAACTTGGGTGAGCAGCTCTTGCTAGGAGTTCTTAAGCTGTTTGCAGCCCTCTTGCTGGTGGGGGTCTCTTCTCTGCAGCAGTAAGCAGGTGTTGGGGGTCAGGCCACATTCCTGCAGGCTCTGTGAGTTGTCCCTGTACACCCTCTGGGGAAAGGTACTGATGATCTCATACGAGTCGGAGTCTCCACCCCTAGGAAAGAACAGCACAGTCTTTCCTACAGGCAGGATCCCCACGGTTTTGAGGGATGCTCTGGCTGATCCAGCTGTGGTTATGAAGGGAGGAGAGACTGATTCACAAGCACAAGCTGAGCAGAAAAAGGAGCTTCCTGCCCAAATGCAGCCAGCCAGAGAGTGGCTGTTCCAGGCCACACAGCTGCGGTGGGAAGGAGGCTCTTGCATCCCAACAGCAGTGAGCTCATCCTGGGCTCAGGCTGAGGCCAGGGCTATGGCCTGCAACAGGAGTGGGAAGAGGGGAGAGTAAAGGCATCCCCCCAGCCATCTGGAGCTGTCCCCAAAGGAGTGTGAGAGCCCTTGGACAGCATTAAATCCAATGGGATATAGAGCTGGCTGAGCAAAGTGGGGTGTTTATCCAGGAGCAGGTCCATTGGCCAAGCTGAAGGCTGCAGCTCAGCTTCCAGGTTGCACCAACATGTTGGGAATGGTGGCATAGTTGGATGGAAGCAGGCAAAGGCAGGGATGGACCTGGGTCAGGTGGCAATTCTGAGACAATAGAAGAGGCTTATGTGTGGCTGTGTCAGCTTTTTGGCAAAGGTGGGTATTAAATGCTTGAAGTGTGACCCTGGCAGCACTAGGTGCCCAGAGAGCATCCCTGGGGGTGCCAGCAGCTCGTGGGGCTGTAACCCTCAGCCCTGCTCAGCTAGGGCTGATCTCTTTGAAGCACAGCTCCAGGGCCTTCAGCAGCAGCTGGGAAACCTTCCCCAGGGCTCTATGGAGCTGGGTAAGGAGGGGAGCAAGCCCTAGGCCCACCTGGCACGGGCGAGGTGCTGGCGCAGGTCCCCGATGGTCTCTGTGAGCAGCATCCTCACAGCGTACGTCTGCTCCCCGCTCTCCGATTTGATGCGGAGAGCACAGACACTGGGGGCAGGAGCCTCAGCCTCTTCAGCCACCTTCACTCTGGAGGTGAAAGAACCCCATCAGTTGAGGAGGGAGTGCTGTGCTGGTGGCAGAGCTGGGGTGACCTGCCTAAAGGTGCCTTGAAAAGAGGATTGTTGACCTTTTTTAGCTCTTTCATTTCAGATCAGGCTGTCTGGTAAGTTCTTTGCCCTACTTCTTTGGTTAAAAATAATCTGCTTGGGTTTTTTCTTCATTTGCTATTTGGGTCTTGTCTTGCCAGAAGACTGAGTGGAAAAATGCTGTTTGTGTGACCTCCCACTTGGGCATCACTTTACTGGTGAGATTCTCCTATTTAACTTGATCACAAACAGCTTCTTAGGTGGTTTCAAACTCTTAGGCCTTGGCTTGCTGATGGGAAAACTAGTTCACAGCAATAAGTAGCAGTTTGAACAACAGAAGCTTTTTGTTAGAGCTGTAAAAGATGGCAAGTTTACCATGAACAATTTAGTGGTCTTCCCAAAAGACCAACCTTGGCCTTTTTCTGTATTTCTAAGGTGTAAAAAGGACAAGTCCATTTACTTCCTTAATAGGAACCCACAGTGTGGAAATAGGAGGAAGATGAGAGCCTGACAGGGCAGGGGCCGTGCCTGTACCTCTCCAGGGCAGGCAGCCTGGGTGTCTCCACCAGGATCTCTTGGCTGCTCCGCACCTTGTCAGAGCCCTGAAACGAAAGCAGGTGAGTGTCACTGCTGCCTGCCCTGCACAGAGAGCAGCCAGCGCCAGGACAAGGTGCCACGTGTGCTCTGGTGGAGCCTCTCTGGGAGGAGGAGGTTATGCAGAGCTCAGAGGCCCACAAAGGGGTGCTGTTGCTGTGCAGGGTGATGAGCCCAGGGAATTGCTGCTGGCACCTTCTCTAGGTGTTTGTGAGGTCCACTCATACCTGCTGTGCTGCTCTGGCTGAGTTGTGAGCACCAGTTGCTTCTCCTCCATGTTTCAAGGGCTTGGAAAGCTTGTTGAGAAGCTGCTCCAAGGAGACTTTAGGACCTGCTGAAGCAGAGTGTCCACGTGTGACCTTTTTGCCAAACAATCCGCCCTCAGAATAGGCTGGTTTGAGATAAGAGATCGTGACAGCCGACAGGGAGAGCTCTAACCTGCCTTAGCCAGGCTGGGGCTGGCTCTCAGTCTCCCCCATTGAAGCTTGTCCCGCTTTCTGGCCCATTAAATGTTCCCCTGTCAAACCTTGGCAGTGAGCAGCTGTGCAGCCTGTGCAGCACACAGCTGGGATGCACAACAGGTTGAAACCTGGTTAGTCCTGCTGTGAACAGGGAAAACTGAAACTATGTCAGGTTTTAGACTTGGAAATGGTTCCATCTCGTGAGGGTGTATTTGTAGGTGTCTCTGCCTTTTTCTGTGGTGGCAACGGGCAGTTATTTTGTCTTTACTATTTGGATAAAGGAAACATTTAGCACAGCTTCTGTCTGCGAGTGCCTTGAGATGAAGAAGCAAGTAGTAGTTTCGTACAAAGAGGAAGATGTTGCTGATGGGCAGTGCACGTGTTTGGGTTATTTAGTTACACAGGCACAAACACACTATTTTCTGTCTATACAACTGACTGCATTTGACATAAGCCCTGCCAGGTATTGCTTAAGGACTTCTGGAGTCTAGAAGCAAAATGAGGAATCTGTGACCTGACCTTATGTCCCATATTCTCTTACAAAAGCCTGAAGAGGAATCATCCCATACTTGGTATAGTTAAAGATCAGTCTGGCTTGAATATGTCCATCCTTACAGGATGAGCTTGTAGGAGAACCAGAGGTTTAAGAATTTACCTGGGATCTCGGTGGTTTCCTGCACGTCACTTGATTTTGAATGGCCAACCACTTGGCCATGACCAGGAAAACTCCCGGGAAGGTGTCTCTCCTGAAATACCATGTCCCTTCTGTCAGTGACCTGTTGAATTAAGGCCAGCTGCCATAAGCAGATCTTAACAGTTGGACATGTTTGTTCTCACTGCATCAAAGCACAATAAACCACAGCAATGACAACCAAGAGTTACAAACCCCAGATGAAACCTCGGAAGCTGCTCCAGCTGACCAAATGAAATGCATTTTCAGCTCCTGTAGGCTAACAAAACACATCCTTGTGTATCCCTCAAGTTCCTGGGCTGGCCCGCACAGACTGCAGGGTGGTTGTTCATCCATCTCCACAGGCACTTACACCACTTACAAGAAATGTGCTTGGACCTGATCTTTTCCTACTTGCAAAGGTTCTGCAGGTGGAAAGTGACGTGGAAGCAGCAGGCTGGGGCTGGAGAGGGATCTGGCAGTGAGAGGCTGCACTGGGGACTGGCAGGTGGCTCTAAGGAGCCAAGGCAGGCAGAATGCACCCAGCAGTAGGGCAGGCTGTGTAAATACCAGCAATGTCTGGTTGTCTCTCTGGGTTCCGCTTATGCTCCTCTTACACTGGCTGTCCAAATTACACGTGGGTGCACTCTGTGTCTGTATTTACCCCCGATTACTGTCCTGTGGCTTCCAGATGTGCCCAGCTTTGCATGGATTATAGGGAACCACAGGCCCAAGAGCTTTGCACAATCCTCACTCCAGCTGACTTTCTAACTACCGCACCTGCAGCTCACTCTGGCTGTCCTGACCTCATCCTTGCCCTGCTTTCCTCGTGGCAGTGGGGTAGGTGCACCCTTCTGCTTGGATGCACATGAAGACCTAGATTAGGCTCCTCTGAGGCTCTCTGCCTGCTTCCTGCCTGAAAAAGGTGGCCTTGGCTTTTTGCCATTTCTGAGAAATTAAAAAGTGGGGCCTAAAAGAACCTCAGGTGGCCAAATCCATTTAAATTGTGGCAAAATGAACTCTCCCAACATCCTCCTTGGGAGATACTTGTTCAATCTGTTTTAGAAAGCTTTTCCATGGGAGTTTAAGAACTTTTTTCCTGTTCTTCATTACACAGCTCTTCACGTGCTGCATGTGCTGCTTCTCTACTACAAAGCCTGCTATGGTCTCAGAAGTCTTGTTCTGAGCCAAGATTCACTGAGGCAGAGAAACCACTGAGTCTTGACGCAGAAACTCTCACTTCCTGTAACGTCTCTAGCAGGTGTGTTTCCAGCCACCCTTTCCCTGAGACACACATGCACAGGGTTAGTCTTGATGTACACTGCCTTCAGAAACCTCCAATTGAAATTGCTGTGGGGAGCATCCAGCAGACTGCTGAAAGAAACCTGAACAAGCTTTGCACTGCTTTACCTGCAATGGGATGCCATCAGGGTAGTGCATCTGCAACTCTGAAGGGAAATAGCCATCCATAATATCCTGTAGGCATTGCTGAAACAAAACGAGAGCTTGTGGGCATACCTCAGACTTTCTATTTATCTCATGACTGATACATTCCCTCTGGGCTGCTCCTATTTGTGGTTTTATTACTGTGCAGAAAAGTCTGCATAAAAGACCCAGAATCTCCATCTCTTCAAAATTACCCCACCAAGACATACTAGCCTTTAAAGGGATGCAGGTGAGAAGCTGGAGGGCTCTTTTAGATGCTCCCCTTTAGGACTGAGATGAGCTCAGGAGCCTTATTCCTACCCATTCCCTTTCCTGGGGCTATAGCAGGATGGCTCTAAGCCTAATTCCTCTAAAACTTTTCCATACCTGTGTGGATGGGTCCTCATAGGGCCGGAAGGGCCCGTTGAACATGACAATCCCATTCTGATACAGTGTGAGAGGGAGGGGTTGTGGCTGTCTCAGCCGAGCCCCTCCAGGCGTGTGCTCGATGTGAGAAATGCCCTCTCCAGCCAGCAAGTTCAGATCCTTCACCTTCTCCAAGATTAAATCAAAATCAACGTGGTGTTGGGGAACAACTGCTTCACCTGCAGCACAGGGACCAGAGTTATAGGGGGAAGGGGACACCAGCTCAGCAGCTTTCAGCTCTGTGTGAATCGGAGGTGCATTTGAGCCCTGATGCTGTGGGGCTGTCTCTGCTGCCTCTCTATGCTTTGCCTTTCACACTTACGCAAAGTGTGGTGCAACACTGCCAGGTTTACATGGGAGTGTGTGCAAAACCACAGGGGCAGGGCAGCAGGGAAACAGCCCTTTGCTACTAGCTAAGGTAACTCCAGATGCAGCCAGCTCTTTAGAGACCATGCTCAGCTCGTTGTCTTTGGTTGTAATTTCAAGAGTGTTTTGTTGTTCCTCAATGTGGTGGTATGAAATGCACAGTGAAGAACAGAACTAGTTGGGTTAAGTAGGTTGGATACTGGATCAGAGCAGACTCACTGAGGAAATGCCAGTGTAAACAGGGGCAGGTGCCTGCTGCTTGCCACCAGCAGGTTGCTCTCTCTTGCTGGGGCGCTGCTGAGGATGTTTATCTGGGTGCTTGGGGAGGGTGGAGAAGTAAGAGGGGTGATGGGATGGAAGAATGACTTCAGAAGAGGAAAGGAGAGAGGGTAAAGCCTTTGGTGGTTTCTCTTCTGCTTTTTTATGACTTGATAAAGGAGGGCTGGGACATAGTCCTTAAAAAGGATGAGCTGAAAACAGTGAAAGTCTCTACTGCTTCCCCAGTTTTCTCCCCTCCTGCATCTGAGGAAGGGAAGGATGAGTGCGCTAATATCTGCATAGCAGTCAGGAAGTATCATTGTCTCTACAGCCCGAGTGTCCTTTATTTCCGCCCCCCGCTCTGTCACCACTTCCTAAGAAGCCGTTGCCAAATATGCTTGGACCCCATCCTGCACAATCAGGTCTCAATTAAACCACTCACGTGATGGCTGGGAGGAAAGGCAAACAATACTCTCTGATGGAGCCAGACAATATGGGTAAGTTACTACAGCTACTACATACACAAAGTGTCTGACTCCATTTTCCACCCGCTTTATGTCAGTGTTATTAGAGCAATCAAGCTTCGAACATTCAGGGTATGTGAACTCTGCAGGAAGCAGCTGCTTTGAGGGTCTCCTTCCAAATGGCTCAGCTGCTGGGTTCTCTCATCATCCCCTAAATGGGGCTTACAAAAATATAGATGTATAAAATACCAACATTCTGCCTGGTTTAGTTCCTGTTCAATTGCTTCATGTCTCTGCCTCTGAGATGGGCTGAGGTGAAGACCTCAGCACAGGATCACAAGTTCTGAACATGCAAATTCTGGGTCTTTGCTGCTTATCTACTCTGGGGAGTATCACACTTTCTTTAAGCATCCAGTGGGAGTTAGGTTAGCTGCTTCAGCAAGGAGTGTTGGTGCTTTACCTGGCTTCCAGAAGCTTCTTCCTGGCAGCTCTTCTTCATCCTTGAGCAGTCCTACATCTTCCAGCTCTTCATGTCTCTCTCCAACCCAAGTCAGACCATAGTCATTCAGAAACCGCTGGGACAGGAAAGCACAGTCAGTGTTGTAGACCAGAGGTTCAGAGAACTAGAAATAGAAGCCTGAGAGTGGTCAGCTGGGATCATGAGAAGCAGAAGGGGAAGTGAAGGTTTGCCTTGGGTTTCTTTGGCCCTGGCAGGGTGGTAGTAGCAGCTGCTCTACTAGTAGTAAGCAAAAGGAACAATGAAAGTACTGATAGTGACACAGTCGTCTCCCAGGGCCGTAACAACCGCAAAGAATATTTCTACAGTCCTAGAAATCAAAACAAGAGGCTTGCAGGAGGCACAGATGTTTGTGTGTCGTTTCCTGCTGCCCTGGAGCTCCCATCCAACTTGTTCTTTGTTTTCAGAGGGGTGAGGTGGTGAATTGTGATGATCAAAGTGGCAGCTTGGAAAAGACTGAGCAGCCTGGGACTGCGATGATCCCAGACCAAAGGTGCAGATGGCTTAGGGCAAGTGAAGCAGGTGTCTCACCTCCATCTCCCAGACCTGGAGCTGCAGCTGAAGGCACCTGATTTCCAGTTCCTCTGTTGTGCATGAGTCAGGAGCATCTGAAAAGGAAGACTTGTTTTTTCTTTGTACAGCCTTAAGAGTTACAGACAACCTGTGTCACACAGCACAGATGCCCCAGTGGTACCTAATTGTACCCTAAGGAGCTCAAGTCCATCAGACACAGGAGCTGAGCATGAACTCTGCATGCTGGTCCCTGACAATTCAACCTGCAGCAGTTTGATAAAGATGCTGCCAGACTAAAAGGTAGTTGTGGATGATACTGGTGATGTTTTCTGCTGCAGGAAGCTGATGTGGGTGATGCTGTTGGCAATTAAACAATGGGAATTGCTTTGCTTACTCAGTCTTAAGGGACCTATTAGAAAAATTAGCAGGTGTCCACTAAAGCTGGGTTGAGAAACCTGGGCTGAATGGCTAGAACAATGCCCAATGAGGTACAAAACACATGCTTGTGGTTTGACAGGTGTATTTGTGTTCTCTGCTCAGGAAATTGAGAGCTTACTACAGCTTTATGCTTACAAGGTAGTTCAGCCATTGTAGGAAACGTGTCTGGGCTCAGCTGGAGAAGCTGCTGGATTCCAAGGAACTTAATGAGGGAAAAGACCTTCAGTGACTCACTCCCAGCTGCCTCCCAGGACAAGTGAGGCTGGGCCTGGAATCCTCCTTGCGATCCCAAGCAGAGCTTTGGGTTTGCTCAGCTGTGAGTAGCTCTGGTTTTCCAGCCTGTTTGAACTCTGCAGTATTTACTGGTTTGTTTTGGTTGTTTTCCTGTGTGGTTGGTTTATGCTCACGGAAACTTAGCAACCCACAGAAAATAGGTCAGGCAGTAATTGTTGGCACTACACCAGAAAAGCTGAGCAATGGATCGTAGAATGGTTTAGGTTGGAAGGGACCTTAAAGCTCATCCAGTTCCAACCCCCTGCCCCGGGCAGGGACACCTTCCACTAGAGCAGGTTCTCCAAGCCCCTGTGTCCAACCTGGCCTTGATGTGAGTATAAAGTGTGGATCTGCTTTGGCAGAAGGCACCACGTCTGTGTAACTGATACCACTCACTGAAGAGGCTCTTGGGTAAGGATGGCTCAGAGAGGAGGTCTCCAAGCCTGCTCCGCTGCAGTACCAGGAGCTCTGTATCTCTCCCACAGGCAGGAGCAAGATACCAAGGGTAGAGTAATTTTTACCTTCTTCTTTCTGAAGAGTCTTCATCTTCTCTTCAAGCTCAGCAATCCTCCTATCCTTCAGGACCAGAACAAATAATGACCTTATTTAGTTCCTTGACCTTCAGGACCTTGAGGCACAGTTTGCACAATCAGTCCTAGGTGAGTCAGTGGTGCACATCCTCTCACCCCATTCAGAGAGGCAGAATAAGAGTCAGAAAGGCTGCATCACCTCACAAATTAGACTCAAATGAGGGGTGGGATACAAATACACTGCTCCAAGAATAGGTGAGGCAACACTGACCTATCTCCCCCTCCTTCATTTGCACAAGAGCTGTAGGGGAACACCCAGACTCCTGCCCTTGGGTTTCCAGCTCAGGCACAGCTCATGGTTTGACTTACAGGAAGAAGCTTATCTAGAAATGAAACCAGCATTTCTGCAGCCATCTCTTTAAAACCCAACACAAAAGGGTATTTATTGTAAGCTGCAGCCATGCAAAGAGGTGAGGTCCAGGCTGCCTCTGCTGTGTGAGCAGCTGCTGTCTCAGAAAGCAAAAGGAAAACCCAGGGCTGAAGTCAAACAGCTGCGACCAGCGACAGGGTGCTCAGAGTCATCACTTACAGCAGGGACTGGTCACTGCCAAAGCAGGGCACAGAACAGGTTCGATAAGGGCAGGATTTTTACCTTCAGTTGGATTTCTTGTGCTTGTTCTGCTATTTTTTGTTCCAACAGGGTGATTTTTTGCATCATGGAGGATTCGAGCTCCGTGTCGGTGTGAGCTGTGTCTGAAAGCACAAATCTGTGTTATTAAATCCTCTGCACCACAGGGGACCCCACGCAAGGATTCCTGTTCTGCCAGGACAAGGGCCCATTTGTGGGGTACTGGGCAGGAATTCCTTAGCTGCTGACGGGTAGGGAGATGTTGGAGCCCACCAACCTGTCACTGAGAAACTGTGATGGCCCAGAAACCCCTAATCACTGAGGGACTTTTACCCTGCGTGTTCTTTTCCAGTGTTGTCTCCTTCGAGCAGGAGGGGAGACTGCCCTGCTCTGGATTCTCTGTCCTAGGAGACAGGCTGCCATCCTCTGAGGATGAAAGAAAGAAAACAGGTCAGTGTTTTAGCTGCAACTTCTTCAAAAGCAGGTAAAGGAATACTGGGGTTATGTGAGGGGAGGAGAGGGCAGGAGAAAGCAGGGTGGCCCGTTCAATCCCACAGGCACTCCCAGCCTAATGAGCGTGTGTGGGAGCTTGTTATGAGCCAGGACAAAAGGGAAGGTGCAATCTCAGCAGCTGGGAAGAGTGAACATGAGATGGGGCTTGCAGAAAGAGACTGTGACACGAGTACAGAGCACCCTGCAGTGCAGAGAGGCAGGAAGTGGTAATATTGAGCTATTTCGACAAAAAGCCCAACACCCTGGGATTAGCAGAAGCTTCACTGGCAGCGGAAAGAGAGATTTTGCTCTAAGATGCAGGAGGAAGGATGTGACCTAAAATGGAGATGTAAAAATAGATGAGGCTTTAATGTGCTCTAGGTCTTGTTGAGGATGCGGAAACCTTGTCTTTCTGATCTGATTTTGGACACATAGAAGAGAAAGAGCTACAACCATTGCAATCATGTAGGATGGCAAGAAAAGCCTTGTCAAGGGAGGCAATGGGCTTGGGCAGCTCTGCGTGAGCTCTGCATGTGAAAATGAAGCACTTCGTGAGCATTTGCTCAGTGGGTAACTTTTTAAATGGAGGTGCTGTTGCAGCTGCAGAGAGCAGCTTTTCTCTGCTTGAACCTGACGAAACACGAAGTGCTGCGAGACCCGGCCGGTATTTTTATACCCCTGGAACCCGCGGGGGCCCGGTACCGGCCAGGGGGCAGCAGGTAAGGAACAGGGGGACCTCTGTCTGAGCCAGTGTTTCTGATCCTGTCCCCGCCCTGGGCAGCCCTGCGGGCCCCAGAAGGCCGGGAGCGACCCGCCTTTCGAGGGACCGTTGGCAAAAAGGGGCTCAAAAGGATGGGGGTGACCGGGTGCCGCCCGCGGCGCTTCCGTGGGTGCTGCGGGGT